GCTAAGGGAGACCTTCTGCCTCTTTGATGCAACGGTTTTACGTTTATTTTAAGTAGACCCGGCAACGGCGGGAGACGGGGTGACTTCATTAAATTAAGGCAAGATGGAGGTTTACTGCAAGATGTTTAGAATGGTGTGGCACCACAGACGGGATTCGGCCATAGAACGCAATATTTTTGCGGGTGACCAAAACATCAGCAATTTACATTGTTGCGGTGTAGGGGATCCCTTTGAAAATTGTAAAAAGATGTCCCCCACATATCAGAGGGCGGGATTCCGGCTGCAAAAGTTAACGAGCCATTTCAAGGGAACATCCGCCCCCCGGGGAGGAAGGGGAATAAGTGTTACTTTGAGGATTGGGAGATCCCGGAGGGTTTCCAGTGTTCAAGAATGTCTTGCCAATGCGGAAATTTGTTGGACTATGGTATGGGGGCAGAAAGACAGTCACTACAAAATTTAGAGAAAGAAGTTTTTTTTTTAGTGTAGGAGTGTATCGATATTCGAAAGGAGAGAAAAATCAAGCTTGGTACTATTTGGCATGACGAGGTGTCCGCTCTTAGACATGAAAGAATATCTCTACCAAAATACGCGGGGGCTTTGCCAATTTCTTTTTGGTCAAAAAGGGAGGAGAAAAAGAAGTCGGTCTTAAAAGTAAGTTTTTTCCATTGTGTGGTCCCAAAATGAGCTGGAGAGGGGTGCTTGCGTGTCGGTCTTTTTCCGAGTAGAAAGGGGAAAGGAACAAGGGGCCATCAGGATTTACGTTGGCGTTTAGGGGGTAGGGACCGGGGTTTGGGCCCCGTGAAATGGGTGGGCGATTCGAAAATTGCCTACCGTGGGGGGAAGCCGGAAGCATATCGAAGGACAGCGGAGTTCAGACAAATCGAAGGGCGTTGAAGCCCCGGGACCTGAAGGGTGAGGAAACGCACCAGCAAAAGGGTCAGGGGGTCAGGAGTGCCGAAGGTGGTCAAACCAAGGCAGGGCAGAATGGGGGAGGTATCAAAAAGGGGCCCGGGGGTAGGGGGTTTAGGATTGGGGTTTTCCCTGGTTAGGTTACTCCTTTGCTTTTTTTTTTTTTAAAAAAAAAAAAAAGAAGAAAAAAAAATAAAAAAATAAAAAAAATAAAAAAAAAGGGGGGGGGCGGGGAGGAATAGTTCCAGGAGGGAAAGAAAGGGCCGGAAAACCCTCCGCACCCCAAAAGGACCTCAGCACCATATAGCGCAGAGCAGCTGGAAACCCTGCCTACCCACCCCCTTTATGCCAGTAAACCAGCAATCCGGATTGCACCTCACATCTGCCCAGCTACCTCGGTTGGGGCAAAAAAGAGGGCGGCCGGGTTCCGCCACAAAGCATCCTCCTTTTGGCCCCCACCCCCGGAATCGAAAGGTGGCTTCCAGAGATCACCCGTCGCCGAAAAACACCCAAAGCACTCTGGGGATTTCCGGGGGAGGGATCGGGGCTCCCCAGGCGATCCAGATTCCTGGAAATACGCCACCGACAGACCTCAAAGGAAAAGGGATGGACCCCGGTGTCCTTTCCCCTACCAGGAACTAGGCCCTGTGGGAGAAATCCCAAAGCAAAAAGAAAGGGGGGAAAAGGGGGGGATGGGGGGAGGGGGAGGAATGGAAAAAGGGGAGGATGGGTAGGGGAGGGGAGAATGGGGGGTAATTAGGTGGTCTGAGGCAGAAACCAACAGTCTAAATTTCCCCCAGACCCAAAAGCCTCTTCACCATGCCAAGGAGCCCCCTTTAAGGGTCTTACTTTAAAATAGGATGTGTAAACATGTTTCAGGCTTTTATATGCATTTGAAAGTGGAAAAAAAAAAAAAACATGTTAAATTTACAGTGATTTTTTGCTTCCAGCAGTAGCCCAAAACCTAACTGCGTATAAGCGGGGGCCCCCGTGCATGCATATTTTAATAAAATAAGCAATAAACCCACAGGGTCTATAGGTTTTTTTAAAATTATAAATACTCCATTCCCGGAATGAAACCCAAAATTATGATCCTAAAAAAGGGTTTTCTAGGCTTTCCCAAAAAATATATGGGAATGGGATAACTTTTGAGTCCGGGAGGGGGCTTAGTTTCCTGGGTCAAATCTTCACTGACAAAAGACCCTTTAAAGGGGCAATTTTTTTAGCTTGATTATAAACATTTTTGATATATTTAATCCTCTTCAAAAGAACCTTTTTTTTTTATTTTTTATTTATTAAAACCGGCCCTTCCCACCAAGGCAGGGGCCCGAAAAAGAAAACTTTCACCATCATTCAATCCATCACTGTCTTTCCAGGGGTGCTTTACCTACGTTTTTTTTTAAACTGCAACATAACACCCCTCCTTCAGAGTGCAGGCACTTCTTCCCATCTCCAGGCTCAAGTCCCCTGCCGGTTTCCCGAAAACCCTCAAAAAGTTACTTTGCTCACACTCAACAACAAATTTAAAAAAAAAAAAGAAACCCCCCCTTCCCCCATTTATATTTTTTCCCCCATTTTTTTTTGATTCCTTCTTTTAAGTTTTTATATTTGCTTATTTTACCCTTTATGAAAAGAGTTGATTCATGTTTATTTTTATTAAATCAAAAAAAAAAGCACTAAGCCACAAGGGGGTTACAGATGATTCGTGTTGGTTCGCTTTTGGGGGATAATTTATTAAAGTCCAGCCTGGTCCCCTTTTTCTCTCTAATTTGTTACCTTATAATTACACCTTCCTCACTTAACGATGGAGTTCCCTTCCCAAAACCGTCATAACGAATTCGTCGCTAAACGAGGGGCAAACTTTTTGGTAGTGGGTTTTGTAACCATTTTTTATTGTTTTAATGTACCCTTTTCACCCTTTATAACATTTTTGTATATTTTTAGGTTTATACAAAAGGGGTACTGTATATGTAAAAAAAAGGAGAGGAATCAGCTCTTAAAATCATTATTTTGGTATGCCCCACTGGCCCGAGAGCCCGTCGTAAGTCCCATCTGGTAAATGGTACATCACTAAGTGAGGAGAGGCTTATTACTTCAGTGGGGAAGCTAAAAACCCCTTTTGAGTTTTATAGTGCCTGGGAAAAAGGAAGGGTTTTAGGGTTGATTTAAGGAATTGGGAAATTCATTGTTGCGCTACCCTTTCCAAAGGTGGGAACCACTTATGATTAATACCCGTTTTAACTACACACTCTCTGTTCCTCCTCGCCTTGCTAAATCGCCCGAGTCCTATGAAAATGCATAGCACATGTTGACTGCCCTTTGTATGTTTGACTTGGGATTGCTTTCACTATGATATTCTCTCGATGCTATTTCTAAAATTACTTTGTGCCTTTGATGTACTGCAGTTTGTTTTTTTGGTAAGACAACTGTGGTTTTAATGTTTTAGATTTTTGCTTCTGTTGCCTGTGTTTATCTTATTCTTGTTCTTTTTTTTCATTTTCTGCTGTGCAGCACTGAATAAACCCCTTGATTTAGCACTTTCCACGAATATTTTTATGTTTAATATTTTTATTTATCAAGTGTTTTGAGGGTAATAATATACATACAACAGTTAAGATGAAGTGATTCTAGAAATTTTATCCATTCATACCTCTACAATATACCATAAAAAATGAAATATCAATACTGTATACAAATAAATATTGCATAATGTTCCAATCATAAACAAGTTTCATTAGACACATTAATGTCTAACTAAATATAGTCAATCACAATATGAATTAAAATACTAAAAATATTATTAGAAACTTCAGGAGGATTTGAATGAGATCAGTATACTGTAACTACCTATATAAAAATTAATTTATCACATTACAGCATAAACAAAAAAAAAAAGTGAAAAAATTAAATATTTTAATATGTTAAGACACAATATGCAGTTTCTGGCATTTTATTGACAAGACGTTGCATCCACCAGAGGCATTATCAATTTTTGAGAAGTGATAAAAGTGCTGGTGGACAAACCTCCTCAATAAAATGCCAAATACCGAACGTCTTATTTTTATGCTTGTTCGTATATTCTATCACTAATAAAAATATTTTCACGTGTTTAAAACTGGTTGTCCTTGGTCTCTGAAAAGTGTCAGAGCACTGTCTCACATGTGGCACTTTTGAGTTGACACTTATTTTCAAACTCCTCATTATGCTGCAAAAAAGGTTTCCATTTGTTTTATTCTTGTTGCAGCTACTTTTGCATTCCCTTTAGTTAATTGCCTGTAGTGGATAATTCATACACCATTATTTATATATGTTACTTATTTTGGCAAATAAGCACTACTATATTGTACTTATTTAGCAAATACACCAACCGCAAAGCTCTACTCCAAATGTTAAGCAGTTGTACTGGAACTATAATACTTGTGTGGGAATAAATAGCAGTCATTTTTTTTTTTTAACACAACGGTTGTCTTCCACCAAGGTAGAGTAACCCAATAATGAAAACTTTCTTATAATAGTGGTCATAATACTGTACTGTCATTTGTTGTATAAAGTCTTCCTCCAGATGTAGGAAAAAACAAGTTTTGATCAACGCTTTTTAATTTAATCAAGGTGATGGGGGTTAACAAACGAGTTAGTTGAGAGATTAGATATCAGATTGAAGGGAGTATGAAGGAAATGAATATGTTCAGATATTCAGGAGTGGTTTTGTCAGTGGATGGGTATATGAAAGGTGAGGTAAACCACAAAAGTGATGAAGGGAAAAAGGTGGGTGATGTGTTGAGGCATCTGTAGAGATAAAAAACATTATCCATGGAGACAAAAAAGATGTATGAGGTATAGTGGTTCCAACACTCTTATGTGGGTGTGAGGCCTGGGTTGTAAATGTTGCAGCAAAGAGGAAGCTGGGGGTGGAGGTAGTGGAGATGTTGTGTGAGATCAATGTGCGATGTAAATGTTATGCAGAAAACTTGTAGCATGAAAATTAGGAATAGGTGCATAGTTACTGAAGTATTATCCAGTGATAGTCTGAATGACGGTTGAAAGTGCTTTTTTTTATGGATCACCCTGCTCGGTGGGAGATGGCCAGTGTATTAAAAAAAAAATGGGACTTGTGAACTAAACTAAATAAATAGCTTATACACTCTAGGACATAAGCAGTAACAGGTTAAAAAAATATCTTGGTCACAGTCAAACTTAATAGTAAATAATTTAGGAACAGTTCTACATCACATTTAGTAACCAACTTGTCTCTACCTTAATTCACACTATCATTAGCACCAGTTGAAGAATAGACTTGCATTCATCTATGAAATTCAATATGCATTCTGCAACAGGTTTGGGATGTGTAAGATGAAGGTGATGTTTGCCTGGCATCTCATAATAACAATAATGCTTGCAATCTTGCTTGAATGCTGATAACATAGCTTTAATTTCTTCAGCTGAGCTATAGGTATGACCTTCCTTTGCCTGGAAAGAGAAGAAATTGTATACAAGAATGGCATATTTCAGAAGAAAATCCTATGGAATATGTTTAATCCTGAGACAAGTTTGAGAAAGACATGACTGGCAGTGGTACAGTACACACTTAGTAAGCATGCTCCTCAGTATTAATGGGACTGTGGGAAATAGCTTTATGATGTAACAATATGTACAATACCACCAAAATATACTGAAGAGACAATAATATTTTATTCTAGTTAACATACTGTATTTTCCCCCATTTTTTTTTTTTAACAAATAACAATAAAAGTATAATAAGTTGTCCCTCCAAGGGAGAGTGTCTTGATGTTGGTGCAGGACACTTGATCTGAGGAACTGTAGGTACTCTCACTTTTCTTGGATCAAACCTGAATAACTTCCACTTCTCAAGCACTGTATGACCCCTGCAGGTTTATCTGTATTAAGCAGAGGGAAGCACTAAACATGTAGGCATCATATAACACCTGGGAAATAGGAGGCATTCAGAACAATCCCCATCTTTGGATCAAACTTGAGTGTCTCCCATTCCTCAGGTGCTATATGACCCTATGGGTTTACCTCTTTCCCCTGATTAAAAAATTAATGAATGCTGAATGACTTGATCCAGGAAACTGGAGCTATCTGTGTCCTGGATCAAACCTGAATACCTCTCATTCCCATAACAGTTTAGAGGTTCCCATGAAAATAATTAAATATGCTGAAACATACCTTGATAAACAGAAGAGGGCATGTTATTGCCTTCGCAATTTCTATCCATCCCTCTGAGGAAAGGAATCCTATGAAATACACTTTGGCTCGTAGGTCCCGTGTGAGAATCAAACCTTCAGCTTCCTCAATTCTTCTTGCACCTCTCTGCAGCAAAATTCTAGCACCTCTATCATCAAGGGATTTACTTCCTTCTATTGTCTTTCTAACTAGTTCTTCCTCATCATATACCAATGCAGGTTGTGCAGCTTTCTTTTCATTATCCAAATACTGAAGAAAATATTTTTTGTATTGTGTAGCATATTTTTCAGGAGCATATGAGGTAGGTTTAATTATATCAATGGAGATGAAAGCTTCTACATCTTCTGGGAAAACTGAAGTATATATAATCCCAACTACTGCTCCCATACTGTGTCCAAGGAGAATGAAACGATTCCAGCCTATGGTAGTCATGGCCTTCTTTACTGAACCCACATATCCTCTTGGATCATAGATGAAGGCAGGGGGAAAATGATCTGAGTGACCATGCCCAGGAAAGTCAAGGGAGATAAATCTCACATCCTCAGGAAGAAAAGGAGCAATGAGATCAAATGTGTTGGCATTGTCAAGCCACCCATGAAGTCCTGTCAAGAAAATAATATACAGTATTATATATACTGTGTATTTGATATACATATACGTACTTTGTATGTATTATATGACATTTTATGTTTATTTTTAACATAGCCATTTTCCAACAGGGTACTTACCAAAACAGCATTCACTATTACATGGTTCTTAGTTTTCTATCCAGAAAGACACAGACATTATGATCCAATCAGCAATTATCCACCAGACCACAACTTCCCAATTATTAAGTGCAGGCACTGTGCTTCCCGCCTCCAAAACTCAAGTCTGGCTAACAAGTTTTTCTGGATCTCATCAAAGATACTTCTATGCTCTTACTCCAACAGCATGTCAAATCTCAAAGACCACTTGCACATTCATATATCTGCTAGATGTTCAAACCCATACCTCCTCCCACCAAAGATTTGCACATCCACTTAATCTATCCTCATCAATTTTTTTCTGTCTAAATCACCTCAACAATTACTTCATCCTGGGAGACAAGATTGAAGGACCCCAATGGAAATAAGTCAGTCCTTGATAATTCACTGACTTTCTTAGGTTATCCTGAGTGGCTAATACTCCGGGTTAAAAATTCAAACAAATCTTATTTTTTACGATTTCAAGATTAAAAATGGCAAAATGGCATCTACATTCTCTATTAAATATACCAACTTTTCTTTAAGAGAAAACAGTTTGGTGTTTTGTGAGCTGATAATTATTATAAACTGATTTTTGTAATATTCATGATGGATTATACAAAATAAAATTTGTATTGGTATACATTTTTTCAAAACTGTTGTGAAAGCTTTAAAAGTTTTAAAAATAATATTTAAAATTGTGAAGGGCTCTTGATCCCAGAAATTAGAGCTATCTTCCTATTCCTCTTATCTCCCCTCTCATTTCCCAAGCATTTAAATAACCAGTATTGGTTATTAATATAATATTCCAGAAATACATATTAGTTATCAGTGCAATCAAACATTCACTAAAATCTACTCTTGTTGAACACTATAATTCATATGGGAGATTATTCTTTGGTAACAGAGTTGTGGATGAGTGGAACAAACTCCTGAGTGGTGTCACCGAAGCGAAAACCTTGTGTAGCTTGAAAAATAGGCTAGACAAGTACACCAGAGGGTATGAGTTAGACCTGCCTAGCATGGGCCAGTAGGCCTGCTGCAGTATTTCTTTCTTGAGCTCTTATGTTTAAGCAGAAAATACAAGTGTTGAAATTTTGAAGATGATCAGAGAAGCCTGTTTTCACCTGTGACACAAACAAAAAATCTGGGAATGGCCTATGTAGCAATGTGCAATGGGCACACACACGTGCAAATGATCTCATGAATTTTGCCCAACATAAATTATACAAACCTTAAAAATTTAAAGCAGAGTGAATAACACATTGGTTCTGGTCATTCATTCGCAGGCACAGATCCTGTGAGTGAGGGATTGTATGGCTAGATTTTGGGAGTAGTACAGTGTACTTACAGTAAAGTAAAACGGTACATTACAGAGGATATATGTGAATCAAATTCAGATTAAGTGCTGACAGGACAGACAATGGTCTTACCCAACATACACTGTGATCCCGAGCCTTTTGCCTTTCCACGTAAGGTTCCCCATCCGATGTCAATTTCTATCTCTTCCCATTCCCAGGCTTTGTTTTCCATTTTTGGGTGATGTTCCTGTGAATATTGCACTTGTTGGTCCTTATTCTCCTGTGCATGTACTGGAGATTGTGGCATTGTGCTTGTATGTGGTATGCTCTCTAAAATAGAAGAAAATACAGGTTATCCATATCTAGTAAAGTTCTTAATAGTATATGTATTACAACATACTGCTAAAGTTCTCATATAGTGGCCAAAAAATCTGTGTAAAATTACACATTATTCTTATGTCACATTTGATAAGAGATTGTTTTATCACGTTAATCTGGTGTTAAAATGTACAGCCTCTCCTCACTTAGTGACGTACTCCTTTGCCGATGCCTCAGACTTACGATGGGCTCTCTGACCAGTATTCATACCTAAATAAGGTACATGTATATTAGAGCTGATTTCCTCTATTCTGTTTATTTCAATATACAGTACACTACTGTATAAACATTTAAAAATATACCAGAAATTTTATAAATGATCCAAAAGTGACATTAAAACATAATCAAAGATGGTTGACACAAACTCACTCATTATAGTATGCTCCTCACTTAGCAACAAATTCGTTTATAGATGTGGTCTTAGGAACGGAACTCCATCGTTAAGTGAGGAGAGGCTGTACTACAAGTTTCAAAAAATTGGAATATTAATAGTACAGTACTCTAATAATATCAGTAAATACAAAATTAATACTGATATAATGAATGTGAAATATGACATTTGTAAAATTTTTGCCTAAATCACCAGAATAGATTATCATAGAGGTGAGGAACTACAGTGGAACTTCAATATTTGCACAACTTGATATTCACCCAACTTTTTCAAGAAAAATTTCAATGGTATTCAGATGTTGCCCTGAATTTGACCTAAACAAAACGGTCCATCTGGATGAAGTCCAACGAAAACAAAGCATCACGTGCTCAGTCTCTCATCAGCTTCATTCATTAAGCATTGTCCATGAAACTTTTTGGTATTACATTGTTCTTGTGGTGTTTTTTAAATATTTTCATTCATAGTCCCAAAAAAAGCCTACAAGGAAAGCAGTGAGAACAACAATTAAATGAAACAAGAACTCTGTGCAAAGTGGGAAAGTGGAACATGTGTGTCAGACCTGAAACAGAGCTTACTCTTAGGGAATTTTGGAAAAAACATTTTAGTTCCCTCCAGTATTTAACCCTTTCAGGGTCCAAGGCCCAAATCTAGAGTCACGCACCAGTGTCCAAGAATTTAAAAAAAAAAATTTGTTATTTTTTCTTATGAAATCGTAGAGAATCTTTTTGTGAAGGTAATAAAACAAAAAGTACGAAATTTGGTGGAAAATTGACGAAATTATGCTCTCGCGAATTTTGATGTGTCAGCGATATTTACGAATCGGCGATTTTGCCGACTTTGACTCCCATTTTAGGCCAATTACTTTATTCCAATCAACCAAATTCTTAGCTATTTCACTAGTATTACTTCTATTCTATCGATTGAGCACAAGAAATCGCCAAGTCAACTGTTTCAACTACAAAATAAAGTGATCGGAAATTGTTAATTTGGCCAATTTAACACAAAGTTCAAAATATTCCAATTTCAAAATAGGGTCCAGAATGAACAATGTAGGCATTCCTGGCACTAAACTAACATTCCTCTGTTCATTAGTTATGTTTTGAGGCTTTACAAATAAATTCCATTTTGATTTTTTATTCACATAATGAGTTTTTATTCACACCAAAAAATAGAAGATTTACTGTTATGCAATACTGTAATAATTGTATAAATATCATCACCATATTTGTGAATGTATATTAGACCCACCAGCTGACGTGTATTAGACGTGTGAGGTCGTTTGTTTACTCTTGAATATCGGCAAAAATTTAACATTTCCTCTACTTTGAGCTCAGTTTCAAGCCATTTCCAATGCTAAAACCAATCAAAATCATCTCTATTTCTGTAATATGTCTCCATTCTATCAAATGAGACCAAGAAATCGCAAATACAACTATAAAAAACATACGAAAAAACACTGCAAAGTTGCTGTTTTAATCGAAAAATCATGATTTCTTTTTTTTTCTCTCATTATACACAGTGTGCTGCAGGATCTGTTTTATGTGGTGCACACATACCACATAGATGTATTCTCTCATATCTAGGCCCAAATGTACCACTCACAGTTTATCAGAGTGAGCTGAGCTCATGGCGTAGATCTACGGTTTGGACCCTGAACATAAAGCCGTAGATCTACGGGACGGACCCTGAAAGGGTTAAGGATAACAGACAAAGCCTCGGGGAGGGGGGGGGGAAGTTTCTTTCAGGACAATGAACTCTGCCTGGAAGAAATTGTGGCCAGACTGTGTATCAGTCAGAGATTTTGAAGGCTTTGAGGCAGAGCTTGTAGTGAAGGATACTGTTTCTCTGGGCCAGTCCATGGATTTGGAAGTGAATGATGAGGATGTAGAGGAATTGGTGGAGGCTCACAAGAATGAGCTCACCACAGAAGAACTTCAAGACCTGCAGAAGGAGCAGCAAGAAGACATGGATGAGGAAATTTCTTCTTCAAAGGAGGGAAGCAATAAGGGCAAAATTTCCACTGCAGAAATTAAGGAACTGTGCTACCATTGGGCTCAAACACAGAGCCTGGTGAAAAATTGGCATCCTAACATTACTGGTGTCAGTAGGAGCATCAACCTGTGCAATAACAAATTCAAATTCAAATTCAAAGTTTATTCTCTATAAGGATTACAATGCTGAGTTTACAGAAATTTGGTTATTGTGTGGTTTACATGTAGTAAAATTGTGATTACAGTGTACCACTAGAACGCTTAGCATGGCTAGGCATTTCGGGCATACTTAGTTTTATTCTTAATTGTAAAATATTACAAATTATGAGGTAAGTTGGTATTATGGCTAAGTGACTAAATACTAGTTTGTGAGTTTAGCAATGTGAATGCTTTTGTTTTGGCACAGTACATAGTTTCAGTATTGGAGTATCACAGGATTCATTATTTTAAGATTGAGATTAATATTTCTGTTTATGGTCAAATGAGTGAGTGTAAGTGTGAACCACCAGGTGGTATTCGTGTAGTTTATTGACGGGTGTATCAGGGAGATAAGATGTTTTCTAATGGTAGTTTTGAAGGTGATGAATGTGTCTGCAGTTCTAGAGTTCTCAGGTAGGGTATTCCAGATTTTAGGGCCTTTGACATACATTGAATTTTTGTAAAGGTTTAGTCGGACACGGGGAATGTCGTAGAGATGTTTGTGTCTGGTGTTATGCCTGTGGGTTCTGTCACAACTATCAAGAAAGCATTTTAGGTCAAGGTTGATATTAGAGTTAAGGCCCTGTAGATGTAGATTGCACAGTAGTAAGTGTGGATGTACTGAACTGGGAGTAAGTTTAGGTCTATGAAGAGTGGGGGGGTGTGTTGCCAGGGATGGGATTTAGTGATTATTCTTACTGCAGCTTTTTGTTGGGTTATTATTGGCTTTAGGTGTGTTGCTGCAGTTGATCCCCAAGCACAAATAGCATAGGTGAGGTATGGATAAATAAGTGAGTGGTATAGTGTGAGAAGGGCATTTTGCGGCACGTAGTATCGTATCTTGGAGAGGATCCCAACCGTTTTGGATACTTTTTTGGTTATATGCTGGATATGGGTGCTGAAATTCAGGTTTTTGTCAAGGTATAAGCCTAGGAATTTTCCCCATTATTTCTGGTAATTAGAGTGTTGTCAATCTTAATGTTAATTTGTGCATCTCCTGCTCTGCTACCAAACATAATATAGTAGGTTTTGTCAGTGTTAAGCGTAAGTTTATTGGCTGTCATCCAAGTCGATATTTTAATCAGCTCCTCATTCACAATGGTGTTGAGGGTGGCAAGATTAGGGTGAGAGATGACATAAGTCGTGCATCAGCAAAGAGAATGGGTTTCAGGTGTTGGGATACGTTTGGAAGGTCATTGATGTATATGAGGAAGAGCAGGGACCAAGGACACTTCCCTGCGGAACTCCAGTATCAAGTGGCCGTGTTGCTGATGCTGTGTCTTTAATGGTGACGTACTGATACCTATTAGTAATGTAAGATTTGAAATAAGCAAGCGCATGGCCTCTTATACCGTAATGATCAAGTTTGTGGAGTAGGATGTCGTGGTCTACTGTGTCAAAAGCTTTTCTTAGGTCAATAAAAATTCCTAGTGGATATTCCTTATTTTCCAATGCTGTGTAAAGCAGATCTAGCAATTTTATGATTGCATCATTAGTGCTTTTATTTTTCCTAAATCCAAATTGGCAGGGGTTGAGTATGTTTTGAGCAGTTATAAATGAATACAGTCTCCTGTGTACGAGTTTCTCAAAGATTTTGGATAGCAATGGTAAGTTAGATATTGGCCTATAGTTGTTTAAGTCTGTAGGGTCACCACCTTTATGTATTGGTGTAACCCTTGCCATCTTGAGTAGTTTCGGGAAGGTGCTAGTCTCTAGTGACTTGTTAAAAAGTAATGAAATAGCATGTGAAAGGACATGGGCCGCTCGCTTGTACAGTAATGGTGGGACATGAGACAGATTCCCCGAGTTATTTTTAAGTGACTTTATAATCTCAATGACTTCCGTGGGCGCAGTTGGTGCAAGATAGAAGGAATTAGGGAAATTCCCATCTAGGTAGTCCCCGGCATGGGCATTGGTATGTGGGATTTTACTGGCGAGATTAGATCCTATGTTTGAAAAGAAGTCGTTTATCTTGTTAGCTGTGTCAGTGGGATGTAGTGGTGTTTTATTATTAGGTTTAGTTAGGACAATATTCTTGGTTTTTCTCAGTTTGTGGGTCCCTAGAATCTGAGAGAGTGTTTTCCAGGTCTTTTTTATATCTCCTCTAGTGTCTGTGAATCTACTGGAGTAGTATAGTTGTTTGGCTTTCTTTATTACTTTGGTGAGAGCTGATGAATAGTGTTTAAGAGTATCTTTGTGTATTAAGCCCTGTCTATATTGCTTTTCATATTGGTGTTTCTTGTCAATGGATTTCAGAATGGTGCCGGTTAGCCATGGGCAACCAAGCCGTTTGTTTGTGATCTGTTTTGTTTTTATAGGACAATGTTTGTTGTATAGTCTAAGTAATTTGTTAAGAAAAATGTCTGTCCAGTCATCCTTGGAGAATTCTGTAGGCCAATCAACAGTCTCTAGGTCAGCTGTGAACTTCCTTACTGAGGCCTCGTCATGGAGTCTAAATGAGACTTTGTTGTATTCAAGTGGTGGTTTACTAATGTTTGTCAGGAGGAAGGTAGGGTAGTGGTCTGTAGTGCTATCTGTGATTATCCCTGATTTAAGGGGGGCTAGTATATTGGTCCATATGTGGTCTATTATGGTTGCACTTGTCTCAGTGAGCCTGGTTGGTTTAGTTATTGTTGGTATGAGAAGTGTGTTGTTCATATTGTTGATGAAATCAGTTACAGGCTGATCATCTAGTAAGCCAAGGTTGATGTTGAAGTCTCCAGCTAAGAGAAGGTGGTGCTTATTCATTTGTCTGTTTGTTATTAGTGACTTTAATTTCTCACTGAAATTTGGGATGTTTGTGTGAGGTATCCGGTAAATGGCACAATGTTGTTGACCCTTTAGAAAAATTTTGAAAAGTCATCAAAAGCAGACAACATTGGACAGCTTTTATAGCAAAGCAAAAAAAATCAAATGCCAGTGAATCCCTATCATTTCAAGTGCTACTGCACAGAGAAAAGAGAAAAAACACTAGACAGGAAGTTACCTGATGTTTTTATGGAAGGTGACACACTTTTCAAACAATATCTCTCTACCTTCCTCTTAAGTCATCAGCACTCCTCAGTAAAGGTAAAGTGTAGTTAAATTTTCATTTATTTCATGTATTCATTGTTTTTATAGTTTTCATGTATGATTTTATGCATGCAAATATTATTATACAGGTTAAAATAAGCAATATTTTCACTTAAAATGTTTTATAATTGGTAATTTTTAGGGGTCTGGAATGGATTAATCCAATTTATACTATTTCTTATGGGAAAAACTGATTCAATATTTGTACAACTCACTATTCGAACAGCCTCCTGTATAAGAGTATGTGTGTTGCTGATAATGGGCAGTTTTACATAGCTCAAGAGCAAGATCCAAATTAAAACTAATATAGGAATGGTTTTAAAATGCTTGGAGTGATAAATTATTATACAGGAACACTGCTAGTATAAAGCACAATAATTACTAAGTACAGTGGACCCCCGCATAACGATGGCATCACATAGCGATTAATCCGCATACCGCTTACTTTAATCGCAAAAATTTTGCCGCGCATACCGATTAAAAACCCGCTCACCGATTTTCGTCCAAGACGCGTCCAATGTGCGCCCTCAGCCAGCCTCACATGTGCCGCCCGTGCCATTGTTTACCAGCCAGCCTCCGCGGTAACATCCTGGAGTTTTACCTGGAGTTTACCTGGAGAGAGTTTCGGGGGTCAATGCCCCCGCAGCCCGGTCTGTGACCAGGCCTCCTGGTGGATCAGCGCCTGATCAACCAGGCTGTTGCTGCTGGCTGCACGCAAACCAACGTACGAGCCACAGCCCGGCTGATCAGGAACTGACTTTAGGTGCTTGTCCAGTGCCAGCTTGAAGACTGCCAGGGGTCTGTTGGTAATCCCCCTTATGTGTGCTGGGAGGCAGTTGAACAGTCTCGGGCCCCTGACACTTATTGTATGGTCTCTTAACGTGCTAGTGACACCCCTGCTTTTCATTGGGGGGATGGTGCATCGTCTGCCAAGTCTTTTGCTTTCGTAGCGAGTGATTTTCGTGTGCAAGTTCGGTACTAGTCCCTCTAGGATTTTCCAGGTGTATATAATCATGTATCTCTCCCTCCTGCGTTCCAGGGAATACAGGTTTAGAAACCTCAAGCGCTCCCAGTAATTGAGGTGTTTTATCTCCGTTATGCGCGCCGTGAAAGTTCTCTGTACATTTTCTAGGTCGGCAATTTCACCTGCCTTGAAAGGTGCTGTTAGAGTGCAGCAGTATTCCAGCCTAGATAGAACAAGTGACCTGAAGAGTGTCATCATGGGCTTGGCCTCCCTAGTTTTGAAGGTTCTCATTATCCATCCTGTCATTTTTCTAGCAGATGCGATTGATACAATGTTATGGTCCTTGAAGGTGAGATCCTCCGACATAATCACTCCCAGGTCTTTGACGTTGGTGTTTCGCTCTATTTTGTGGCCAGAATTTGTTTTGTACTCTGATGAAGATTTAATTTCCTCATGTTTACCATATCTGAGTAATTGAAATTTCTCATCGTTGAACTTCATATTGTTTTCTGCGCCCACTGAAAGATTTGGTTGATGTCCGCCTGGAGCCTTGCAGTGTCTGCAATGGAAGACACTGTCATGCAGATTTCGGGTGTCATCTGCAAAGGAAGACACGGTGCTGTGGCTGACATCCTTGTCTATGTCGGATATGAGGATGAGGAACAAGATGGGAGCTAGTACTGTGCCTTGTGGAACAGAGCTTTTCACCGTAGCTGCCTCGGACTTTACTCTGTTGACGACTACTCTCTGTGTTCTGTTAGTGAGGAAATTATAGATCCATCGACCGACTTTTCCTGTTATTCCTTTAGCGCGCATTTTGTGCGCTATTACGCCATGGTCACACTTGTCGAAGGCTTTTGCAAAGTCTGTATATATTACATCTGCATTCTTTTTGTCTTCTAGTGCATTTAGGACCTTGTCGTAGTGATCCAGTAGTTGAGACAGACAGGAGCGACCTGTTCTAAACCCATGTTGCCCTGGGTTGTGTAACTGATGGGTTTCTAGATGGGTGGTGATCTTGCTTCTTAGGACCCTTTCAAAGATTTTTATGATATGGGATGTTAGTGCTATTGGTCTGTAGTTCTTTGCTTTGCTTTACTGCCCCTTTGTGGAGTGGGGCTATGTCTGTTGTTTTTAGTCACTGAGGGACGACCCCCGTGTCCATGCTCCCTCTCCATAGGATGGAAAAGGCTCGTGATAGGGCTTCTTGCAGTTCTTGATGAACACAGAGTTCCATGAGTCTGGCCCTGGGGCAGAGTGCATGGGCATGTCATTTATCGCCTGTTCGAAGTCATTTGGCGTCAGGATAACATCGGATAGGCTTGTGTTAATCAAATTTTGTGGCTCTCTCATAAAAAATTCATTTTGATCTTCGACTCTCAGTCTGGTTAGCGGCTTGCTAAAAACTGAGTCATATTGGACTTGATAGCTCACTCATTTCCTTGCTGTCATCTGTGTAGGACCCATCTTGTTTAAGTAGGGGCCCAATACTGGGCGTTGTTCTCGATTTTGATTTGGCATAGGAGAAGAAATACTTTGGGTTTCTTTCGATTTTCATTTATAGCTTTTAGTTCTTCCCGCGATTCCTGACTCCTAAGGATTCTTTTAGCTTAAGTTCGATGCTTGCTATTTCTCTGACCATGTCTCCCTGCGCATTTCAGATAAATTGACCTCTTTTAGCCGCTCTGTTTTTTTTTTCCGTCGCCTGTAAAGGGAGCCCCCTGTTTTCTTTTCCTATTTTACATCTTACTCCCCCCTTTTTCTTAGAGGAATAAGCCTTGTGCATACATCGATGCCACCGAGTTAATCTGTCTAGGAAAAAGTTTGGGTCTGTTTTGCTTGTAAAACCTTCCCAGCTTATAGGGTTTTGGAGGGGTGGTTTATTTGGGCCCCAAACCTTTATTTTTTTTGGGTTATTGAAGTTAAATTTTGGGGGAATCTCCCTCGTGACTGGGTCCTTTTTGTGGGTCTGGGGCTCCCGCATACATGTCTAAACCCTAAATTTATGTTGGGGATCTGGTAAATTTTTTTGATATGGTGACATTTCTTATCGTTTCTCATTTTTTGTGAATAGAGGTCTAGTGTTTCTCCCCCCTAAAAGGCCTATTTTTTGCTTACACTGGGAATATTTCGTTTATTCCAGTTTTTTTCGGTGCTTTTTCCCTGGAAAATAAGGGGGACCATGGGCCCCAAGAAAGCTTCTAGTGCCAACCGAACCAAAAGGGTGAAAATTTCCCCCTTTAAAAATTTAAGAAAAGAGATTTTGATAAGTATAAAGTGGAGTGCGTATCCCCCGACCAAAGGCCCAATTTGTACAAGAAACCCCAATAAAAACCATCGCTACTATTGTGGGAAACCAAAAAAGAAAAATTGGGAAAACTGTTTCCCAAAAGGGTTTAACTTTTTTTTTCCAAAAACAAAGATCGCAAGTGAGGGAAGATGTTGAAAAACTCTTTTTTTTGGGGTGTGGATAAATGAAAACAGCTAGCGGGAAATTTAGGGGCCTCAAGCGATCATATGTAAAAGGCTAGGGGAAATTGCATGAGGAATTTTAAATTTAAAAAAAAGCCTTTCAAAATGAAAGATGTGGTGAATTTAAGGCCCGCCCAAAAGGGTTTGGTTTTTTTTAGAGATTTAAGAAGCGTAGTGGCATCCCTAGTGTGTAAGGCATGGTGAGGCCCGCCAGTTCGGACCACAAAGCGGCTGAAAAATATGTGCAGGAATTCAAGGAGTACATAGACAGTGAAGGACTGAAACCTGAACAAGTGTTTAATTGTGATGAAACAGGCCTGTTCTGGAAGAAAATGCCAAGCAGGACCTACATTACTCAGGAGGAAAAGGCACTCCCAGGACATAAGCCTATGAAAGACAGGCTTACTTTGTTGATGTGTGCCAATGCTAGTGGTGATTGCAAAGTTAAGCCTTTATTAGTGTATCACTCTGAAACTCCCAGAGCGTTCTGGCAAAAGAATGTCCTCAAGGATAATTTGTGTGTGCTGTGGAGGGCAAACAGTAAGGCATGGGTCACTAGGGACTTTTTCTATAACTGGTTACACCATGCATTTGCCCCCAATGTGAAAGATTACCTAACTGAAAAGAAATTAGACCTTAAGTGCCTCCTGGTGTTAGACAATGCCCCTGGTCATCCTACAGACGTGGCAGAGCGACTTTATGGGGACATGAGCTTCATTAAGGTGAAGTTTTTGCCTCCTAATACCACTCCTCTCCTGCAGCCCATGGACCAGCAGGTTATTGCAAACTTCAAAAAACTGTACACAAAAGCTCTGTTTGAAAGGTGCTTTGTAGTGACCTCAGAAACTCAACTGACTCTAAGAGAGTTTTGGAGAGAGCACTTTAATATCCTCAATTGTGTAAACCTTATAGGTAAGGCTTGGGAGGGAGTGACTAAGAAGACCTTGAACTCTGCTTGGAAGAAAACTGTGGCCAGAATGTGTAGACAAAAGGGATTTTGAAGGGTTTGAGGCTAACCCTGAGAGGATTATTCCAGTTGAGGAATCCATTGTGGCATTGGGAAAGTCCTTGGGGTTGGAGGTTAGTGGGGAGGATGTGGAAGAGTTGGTGGAGGAGGACAATGAAGAACTAACCACTGATGAGCTGATAGATCAACTTCAAGAGCAAGAGGCCAGACCTGGGGAAACTGGTTCAGAGGAGGGGAGAGAGAAATTGAAGAAGTTGCCTACTACAAAGATAAAGGAAATCTGTGCAAAGTGGCTTGAAGTGCAAACCTTCATGGATGAAAATCACCCTCACACAGCTATTGCAAGCCGTGCTGGTGATTATTACACTGACAATGTTGTGAAACACTTTAGGCAAGTCTAAAGGAACGAGAGGTACAGGCCACTATGGACAGATATCTTGTGCGAAAGAAGTCCAGTGACTCTGAAGCTGGCCCTATGGCATTAAAGAAGAAGGGAAGTAACCCCAGAAAAGGACTTGCTACCTCAAGTCCTAATGGAAGGGGATTCCCCTTCTAAACACTAACACTCTCTCTCCCCTCCTCCCATCCCATCAATCATCACCAGATCTTCAATAAAAGTAAGTGTCATGTAATTGTGCATGCCTTTTTCAGTTTGTGTGTATTAAAATTAACATTTCATGTGGTAAAAAAAAATTTTTTCATACTTTTGGGTGTCTTGCACGGATTAATTTTATTTCCATTATTTCTTATGGGGAAAATTCATTCACATAACGATTATTTCGCATAACAATTACCCCTCTTGCACGGATTAAAATCGTTAACCGGGGGTCCACTGTATTTGCCAAAGGTTTATAATTAGCAGAGTGTACTGTACTTCCCAATAGTATTTGTTAGCAATTTGTAAGCAGTATCCAATAGAGGTTTCATAATTAACAGGTATCTGCCAGTGTTATTATTACACTCATAATTCAAGTGGTAGCACCTTGGGTCAACATCTGAATGATCCAGGTTTGATCCTGGCACACGCTGAAATGCTGAGCAAATACATGTAGTATATTTTTTTAACCTGTTACTGCTGTTCACCCAAAAGTAAGCAGTTACCTGGGTACAGGAAGGCCCCACTCATACAGCATAACCAGTTAGGTTCCAGACTACTGCTGTAGAGTGAAAAATCACTGTAAAGTAAAACATAGCTTTTTTTCTCCTTTAAATGCATATAAAAGCCTGTTTACACTATCATAAATTAAGTGAGCAATACAACTAGGCCTAAAAAAATGCATGTACAGTACATACACTGCTCTAAAATATTTTAGTCCTTAGCATATAGTTAGTGGTGAATATATTTATTGTAGGAAGCTTGAATAAATGAAGAATGGGTACGTTTGAAAACTGCTGCATTAGCAAAATGCTATAAAGGGAAGCACTGTAAAGGAGAGCCTCTCTGTATTAGCCGAATGTTATGAGTTGCATCCTGGGATAGTGGCTCAAAGGATCCAAACATAAAAAAGCCAAACATAGTAGCTTTCTTGAGCTTTGCAAGGTAACTAATTCTCAGGGTTAATAATCAGAATAAAATCTTTTACCTCGACAACAACCTAAATTTCAGCACCCATATCCAACACATAACAAAAAAAAGTATCCAAAACGGTGGGAATCCTCTCCAAGATACGATACTACGTGCCGCAAACTGCCCTTCTTGCACTATACCATTCACTTATATATCCATACCTCACCTATGCTATCTGTGCTTGGGGTTCAACTGCAGCAACACACCTAAAGCCAATAATAACCCAACAAAAAGCCACAGTAAGAATAATCACTAAATCCCATCCCTGGCAACACCCCCACCCACTCTTCATAGATCTAAACTTACTCCCTGTTCAGTACATCCACACTTACTACTGTGCAATCTACATCTATAGGACCTTAAATTCCAATATTAACCTTGACCTAAAATGCTTTCTTGATAGTTGTGACAGGATTCACAGGCATAACACCAGACACAAACATCTCTATGACATTCCCGTG